ACACGACGCTCTTCCGATCTCCCCAAAACCCCAAAACCCCTTGTGTATTTATTTTCTGTTATAATAGTTTTTGAATAAGAAAAACAATAAATAAAATGAGTACCAAGCCACCTTATTTTGCAGATAAGAAAGTTCTTATCACTGGAGCCTCAAGTGGAGTCGGAATGGCTCTAGCATACTGGTAAGTATTCAGATAGATGAAAGCAAAATGCTTGAAATTTTAGAATATTAATCTAAATTATTAAGGTATTTAAACAATGGTGCTCAAGTGGCTTTAGTTGGAAGAGATATTGAAACATTATCTAAAATTGGAGAGCAATTCCCCTCATAATCATTGGTCATCTAATGCGATCTAGGAATCGATCTTCAACAATATGTATCAACAATAATGATTTACTAAAATTTATTCAGGAAATGGCACTCTCAGTTATTGAGAAAATGGGTGGTCTTGATATCTTGATCAATGCTGCAGGTATGTTAATCTTCAAGTTTAAGATAATTCATAGGGCTTATATTTGATGGTGATATTTAAAGCACCTTTCCATAGGATTACGATTACTTGATGGATATTAATTTGAGATGTGCTTTCCATATGACTCTTATTTTCCATAAGTATCTAGGAATGTCTAAGGGATGTATCGTTAATGTCTCATGTTCACAAGGATCTAAGCCAAATGCTGGCACAATTGGCTATTGTATGACTAAAGCTGGGCTTGAAATGCTTACAAAATCATCTGCACTTGAGCTTGCTCCCCTAGGAATAAGAGTTAATGCAGTATCCCCTGCAACTCTTGACACAAACTTATACAGATATACCGGAATGACAGAGCAAGAATATCAAAATTTCAAAAAGAGAGCTGCTACTAATATTCCAATGAATAGAATAGGCACAGTTGAAGAAGTAGCAAAGGCAATCATCTTCCTATCATCTGAACAGTAAGTCTCAAATTTATAACTATTTTAGATCATCAAAGGTTACTGGTCATATAATGAAGGTAGACGGAGGTAAACAATTGACATCAAGTGGATATATCCCTTGGTATGGCATGGAAATGATGAATAGAAGATTTGAGCCAGACTATCTTTCAAATATTAATTACTGGATGGCCAATGCCAAAGATAAGATTAGAAAGTCTAAATTCGATGCAGGAACTGAAGAATGGATTTAGGAGATTCAGAATTCTAACTGGGCTACTCACAATGAAGACGCTCACTTCAAGGTTATGCAGGAATACAAGAAAGAAAACATGAATGACGATGAAGTAAATCACTATCTCAACATGCACAAAGAAGGAGGAGTTGACAATCCCAAAGCTGCAAAGAGAGTTTGAAGACAAATTTTATATAAATAATTTTTCATTTAAGTATTATAATGCTTCTAATATCTATGAATTTTTAAGAGCGGGGTTTTGGGGTTTTGGGGGGATCGGAAGAGCGTCGTGTAGGGAAAG